CAGCTCCCAAATTGTTTGAAAACATGAGGAATGTTGCCTTGAGAGTAGTTGCTGGTGCTTTAATGCATTGGATTCCTAAGAGCTGGAGAACTCCCCAAGTGCCACAATCCAGGGTAAATCTAAACCTGACTTAAACGTTACTTTCTCCTGGAGCTCCTGTGGCTGCCCATACTGGTCACATGAAGTACTTTCTCTTGCAGTCGGTACAGCTCCCATCCCCAAAGTCTTTGAGGGAAGTTCTTCCCCACTGCTATGTCACAGGTCTGGGCAAACCCAAGCCAGTCTTCCTTTCCAGTCAGATTCTTTCCAATCCAGGTCACACAACTTTCCTTTCACCTGAGCAGTCCTTTCAGTTTTTGCTTCTCTGCTCAGAACTGCGTGATCATCCTTACATTAGAAAAGATACCTTGAGAAATCACTTCATATAGTTAAAAAGCACTATTTTCCACTCTGAAAAGGGCCCACATGGGAACTCCAGCACAGGAATGACACAAGATTATCTTTCAGCTACCAAAGTAATGTGAAATAGTAGCCTGCAGCTGTGTAAGCAAATTGACCAACGTTATAGGAATCCATGCATGGGTCAGTGATGATCTGTGGAGTAGTATCTGGCCTGTTTTGTGCAGGCAGTGTGCTTGGTGCTGAACTGGATGGGAACTTGCATATAGCTGTGAGATGGTTCAGCTATGGAAAAAGAAGATGGAGCTGAAGAAACTTACTGTACTGCCAACATTAATATCATCTAGCCTTGGTAATGGTTAGAGATCTCCAAAGATGGGAATTTCTGAGATCTTCCTTCCTTTAGTATTCTGCTGTTACCTCCTGTCCAAGTTGCTGAACCCAGCTGGTGATAGTCAGAAATGCCCTGCAGCTTTTCCAATTGTTGGAATAGGTGGTGACGTAGTAAGTGTGATTAGTATGGAGAAAGTAATTCTGGATTAGGTTGTAAGCTGCAGTGAAAGAGAATGGGGACACAGCAGAGAAAACTCATACCTTAGGCCAAGAGACTAAGCAGTGTGTAGCAGGTGAAATTCGTGGGAGGAATACAAGCTGCTGAGTTGGCTTATTGGTCATCCAGTGCTCCAAGCTCCTGACTAAACTTAACTCCTCATAGAAAAAGTTGTAGGAAGCATTCCTGTGACCAGCTCCCTGACAAGAGAGGCATGATCTCCCAAACATGGGCTTATTGCTGCAGGGAGGTTTGATCAACACAGGGCAGAAAGACAATGTCTTAATATTGATGATAAACTCCTCTGCTGGTCTTGGGAGGAAATGGTTCTGTTGAATAAGGAATGCTCTCACCTACTGGCATTATTATGGTAGCTATTGTAGGCTGGAGCCTAACCTGGCTAACAAAACCTGCTCAAGAGGAGGGGTGAGCACATGGGTGGTGAGCCTATTCTCTGTGCAGTGCCACATCGTTTACAGAATCCAGTCTGGCTTGTTTAAAACCAGGTCTGTAGGAGCAGCCATCATAGCAGTTACTGGGGCTCAAGGAAAGATCCAAGGATTTTTAGCAGGCAAAGTTGTTTTCTTTCTGCACCTCTCTGAACTCACCAGAGCCTGAATATGACTCAGAAGAAATGCCAGACTGGGGAATGTGCTGCATCAGGTTTGTGCACTATAGAGTTGTTAACAGGGCCTTAGAGATCTCAGAATAAGGCTCTTGGTTTGAATGCATTTCCTTGACTATCAGACCCAGCATCTCTGGTTCCCAGAGACCCCTCTACTCAGCTCAGTGATAAAAGTGCTTTTTAACACCAAAGCTGCTGTGTTCCCATGCCTGTTGCTGTCATGAGGGAGGCCAGTCTTAAACAATAGCAGAGGAATAAAGAATAGCCTCACTAATCAATATCCTGCCTAGACGCTGAGTCAGGTGGCAGCTTGTGCCTCTTGAAAATTCCTGCATTGTTCCTCATTTTTCATTTGACTGGGGTAAATTTTTATCTCTAAGGAAAGAAAACACGTGGGACCAACTGCCTCTGCCAGTTATATTCTCCACTAGTCCTTTCCCACCCACCTGCACTAAGTTGTGGTGTCTTTTTACTGTGGTAGCCTCCAGCAGTGAGGGATATAGATATGATGGACTTTGGAGGGATATAGATATGATGGGCTAGTTTGGACTTTGAGCTGAGTGTGATGTGCTGTGGTTGGGACATGGTGGCAGTGGTCTTAGGGTTCCTTAAGTCACGTACATCTGCAAGGCTTTGGAGAACAAAATCTTTCACACCTATGTCTTCATAGGTGTGAATTCATGTTCATATTTAAGTGATTAATCTTAAAATGGTCAGAAGGCAAGGATGCAGGCACAGATTCCCAGAAAATTTCTCCATATATGAGTGTTTGAAGCCTGGCAGGATGCTTGGACAGCCTGTGTGCGAACAGACATTTGGAAAATTGACAACAGTGATATTTGCTTAAACAAACTGCAAGATCCTACAGCAAGATCCACCTCAGCTGCACTAAATGTTTTCCAGAAGGAGAACGGGGCCAGGGTGGCTTTCCACACTATCTGAATGTCAGAGGGTCTGTGTGGGCATTTCATTCAGCTCCTGTCATCCTTGAGCATCACCCCAGGGCTCCTCTCACCAGCTGGTACCAAGAGGAGGCTGTGGCTCTGCTCGTTCCCCTAGCCATGAGACCTGCATCAAAGGATGCAGAAGAGAAAGGTCAGAGATGGCTCAGGGGTTTTGTCAAGGCTGAGGGTCCCTAGGAAATCTCTGTGGCTCTTTGGCACTGGTTGCCTCCTGCTAGAAGGCCTCAGTGGGGTGGGGAGGGAATCTTTCTGTGCCGCCAGGCAGGAACTCTTGGAGCTGGAAAGGGAACTGGTAAGGGTAACATTTGTGTGTGTAGATGTGAGATAAGAGCTGACCTACCCTTCACCCCAAACTGAACTCTCTCAAGCTCAAACAAGGTAAGGAGTCTGCTTGTGGAAATGCTGGGGGGAAGCCTGCCAGACCAGCAAACTTGCTGCTCTCACCTAGGGCGGGGGGCAGACACTGAACAACCATCCATGAGGTCCATGAGGAGCTTGCTAGGTATGTGACTGAGACACTTGGGGGTTCGTGGCACAGAGGAATCAGGAGCTGAGGATGGCCTTGCCCCAGGCTTTGTCCTGAGGGGTGGAGGTGGAGGGAGAAATAGAAATTACAGACAATGATGAAGTAATTTCTGATTAAGTAGATTAAGTAGAAATACCATCTACTAGATACTTGAGCAGGGCCTTAGTCATGTAGCCTGTGACCGTTGCTTTCAGATATCCCCACAGGAATATACATTACAGATACTGTCACAGCCTCTTCCCCCCTGTGCAAATATGAACAGGGCAAATCCACAGCTAAGTGGCCTTAGATGGTCTTCCTGTACTGGCAGTCTGTTTCTTCTGGGAAAGAAACATCTCCCTTTAACAGCATTCCTATGTCTCTTGGGAGCCTCAGATCGGTTTGTGCAACACAGGAAGCAGTGCCTGCCAATGAAAGCAAGGTATGGCATGGTGAGGATTGGCCTGGCTCTGAGATCATGGTCTTAGCACTAAACCCTACATGATTGCTCTCCCAGGAGCGAGGACGAAGCTCTGTGTGTGCTGCCTACCACTTGCAAGTTGCATTGGTGGGATGTTGAATCTGAACGACTAGGGAAAGACTCTTCTTGCCCCTGGTATCTTTATGAAGACTAGGAAACAGAAAGTATGGGTATCTCAGAAGGTGTTTTCCAGTGGGCATGTACCAGGAAGCAGCAGCTTTCTCTTTTCTCTTTATGGAGAGAGTCTAAATTCAGGGTACCAGAAAAATGGCAAGAAACAGCTTGCCTGGTTAAATGGTTGGTGCATCATCACCTCGCACAGGCAGGGCCTCTCTGGAGGTGAACTTGGAATTTCTTTCAAACCCAGGCTTCTTTGCTGAGGCTGCTGGCAAGGACTTCATTGGCACCAGCTGGGAAAGGGAATAGTTGTGGCAACCACACCTGCCCCATGGGAATATAATGGAGTCCTTTAGCAATGGCTGCCTGTTAGCGGTGCTCTAATTAGTTGGTAGCTCTCCAAAGCAGCGTTGCTTGGGCTACTGGGCCTCAGCTGTGGTTGCTCAGGCAGTGGGAGTATCCTTGGTACATGTATGGATCCTTGTTATGTAGCTTGTGGAAGAGATTCCTGAGTTTCAGGTTGTTTTGAAACACTCTGATAAGTGTGGTAACTTAGGCTATCTCTGCTTTACTATGTGGAGTTAATGGTCACCATAACAGGAGGGATGGAGCCAGGATGTTTTGGCTCTAACAGCACCTATTGCCCTGTGATGTTGTTAAGCCGACAGCTTGCTGACTGCTTTTGTGGTTCCAGCTTAGGGACTGTGGTTGCACAAAAGAAATACATTTCTTATGAGCTTCTTCACCTACCCTTGAAAACTTGGTGGAAAAAGACGCATTAGACACAGCAGGTTTCCCAAGCCTTGGGGCTTGCTTGTGCAGGGGGCTAATCTTTGTGGGGTGTATGACAACCATGCTGCTGGGGGCTCTGCCCTTCTCTAGCATGTGTGAATCTTGCCTGGGAAGGCAGTAACTTCAGAGAGCAGATCTTTCCTCTCTGGGAGGGAGTGGCATGGAGGAGCAGAAGCAACCAGCCTGCCCCTCCATCTGCATGGTTGAGCAGTGAAAAATCTCTTTAATGCTTGCTATGGATAACCCGTATTGCTTTCATAAGAAAAGATTTGTTCCCTGTAGGCCTGATGCTGTGACAGCTTCCAGTGGAGATGAGCTGGCTGCCTAGACAGGAGGTTGCCTACAGGAAAGAGGGTGAAAGGTGATGCCTGCCAAACTCGCGGTTGGTGAGAAAGCGACTGCTGCACAGCGTCAGTGCACACATGATGGGTGGGGAAGCGTGAGCCCGGCTTCAATCCTTGTCAATGGCACCTCGTTGACTTTTAACACTTCCTTATCGTGTCTGCGCTCACCTCCTAGCAGCGCTGATAAAATGCCATCGCTGGTGTAATCTCCTGAGCAGCTCTGCAGAAAGGGTTGCAGAGCATGGGAGGCTGGATCGCCTGCAGCCAGCAACCAGCATGAGACTCCGGTCCAGAGCAAGGTAACAAAGGAATGGCCCTAACCTGAGACAAAGCGAGGGCAGAGTAATCTCCTAGTCCTGTGGAGCACCAGGTGTGCTGTTATGACTGGCACAGCAGAACGTGAATCCTGTGTTAGAGCAGGGGTTTGCAGAAGTTGGGATAGCTGTTACTTTTCTATTCCTAGTGGAGTTGGAAATGTAAGCCATCTGAAGTGATTGCAGTGTGTTAGTACCCAGAGCTATAGAGTTATGATAATGGCAAGGAATGCACGGAGGTTTTGTTGTCTTTCCTTTTTTCCAGGACTAAATTTCTCTCTCTTGGGGTATTAAACACCTAAGTAGTTCTTGTGCAAATCTTAATTATCACTAAAAGAGAGTATTATTTTTCAATATGTAACTGCTACCTGTAGGCCCACAGTAATCTTGAAAGCTATTTCTAATTATTATTATTTTGGTTTTTTACAGGCAAGCAACCTGCAGTGATATCTTTGGGAGGGTCCTCTTTATGGCTGTGAACTGAGGACCCCTGAATATAAACCAGTAAGAAACTACTGAGCAGGTATGTTATTTTTGGAACCTGTAACCGGTGCCAAACTGGTGTACAGAATCCTGCCACTACAGGAGAACAACGAAACTTGCCATGGAACTGTCTGGAAGGAAGAACTTTCCTTCTGAGTGGCAAATCTGGATGTTTAGGAATGCTTTTTCTTTGTTTGTTTCCTTCTGGATCCCACACTTGGTGTCTTTCTTCCTGAGCTGGAGAAAACTCCTGACGCAAAAATTCCTTGCTGGAGAAAAACTTCTGAAGACTTTATCAAAAGAACTTGGGACCAAAGTCCTTCACTTTTTTCATGGCTGAATTTTTGATTTCAGCTTCACTGATTCAAGTATTTCAAATGATGAAAGGTGAAACAAGGGACTTCTCCAGCAGGAGGAACTGTCATTAACAACAGAAGCTTCCAGTGAAATCTATGAACTGTTTGACTTGCTGTTTTATTTTTCCATCTTACTTAGAAAATAGGCTTATGCAGTTCTGGGTGTATTTTTTTCTTGGGCTACAGCTCTACTCAATACTACGTTATTCATTGAATGTTATTATCTTGTATCCCTCATGAAGCACTAGTCTTGTAATAATTCCTGTAATCACTTCCACATGCTGCAAACTTGCTGAATGGAACAATCTCCTTCCTCATTCCCTGTATTCACGTTGTCTTTGCCAAATTCTTCCTCTTTAGTACTTGCTTGGATACCTTGAAGTTTATTTCCGGTATCAGAATCCCAAAGTTGTTCTCATAGAAATATTTAGTGTTGTCCCAGCCACCTTTAGCAGTCTCTTACTTTTCACCCCCCCCCCCCAGCTTTGATCTTTCTTGTGCTTTTGAACTGTTCTGCCCCTCTGCTCTCATCTCTTGTTTCTGTCCAACATCTTGTACTAACATCTCTTTATTCCAGTGTCTCCCCATTTCTCCAGTCTTCCATCATCCCCTACCAACATCTGGAATCTGATGTGTGGGAAACCCAGGCCTTTCCCTTCATCACCCCAGCACTTCCGCTATTCTTCCTGACAGTGACATCCGGATTGCTGCACATTTTACTGTATCCAAGCTCTGTCTTGCATATAGACCTGTCAAATCTCACCATTTCTTCATCTAAACCCTGACTTTTTTCCTATGCTGCCTAAGTGAAAAGCTCAAGTTGTCCTCAGTTACGGCAGTATTGCTTGCAGTCCCCTGCCTCCTGAGTCCTGCTCCATTACACTTGTCATTCTTCAGCTTCATATTCCTTCCATGGCTTCTCTGTCAGGTTTCAGCCACCCCATGTGGACTCTGTATGTCCTCATTTCATGGCTGTCTGCTATCCCCTCATGCTTGCCATCCTCCTGAGTGGTGTTTAACCACTTATTGCACTTCCTGGCTTTCTGCGTCTCCTTGCTTACCATTATGCTTCTTTCAAAGCTTTAAAAATGTCTTTTCCTGCATTTTTTTTACATATTCTTTCCCTCTCTTGGCCCTGTTAGGCAGGATCAGGAACACAAAACCTTGGAGACAGTAAACACTTAATTGCCCTTGAAATGAATACTGCCCATCTAGGAGTTAGGCAGCTGAATACTGTTAAGGTATCTCTGTACCAGTGTGCACCCACTGTTTGCTCTTGAGACCGGTACTTATATTGCTTACACTGCTAATGCCACCTCACTCTGGAGGTCTGTGGTGTCTGTCAGTAATGTCCCCAAAATCTGCATTTGGTAACAGCCTGAGGAACTTGATATCTAGGTCCTGCTTCAGTCCACTGGGATCCATAAGCAAGCTGTCCCTCTGCCTATCTCTCTGTCAGGGCCTGATCTCATACAGCTTTTCAGATAAGGCATTCCAGATCAATTGGTGCACAATGCATGGCTGTTGTGATAAGTGTCTAAGACCAGGAACTGAATGATCAGATTTAATTTCCTTCTTTTCTTGTAGGATGGGAAACACAGCCTAAACCCTCACCTCTGAAAACCACTGTTTGTAGAGATGGAGGCAGCTATGATGTTGAAGCTTGCTCAGTCTGTCAGTGGAACGTATGAAATGAAGTGCATGTAATTTTAGGGTAAGCTGTCACGGTGGTAAAAAGCGGGGCTGTGTTTCCTTTACGTCTTTCTGGTAATCTCCCCATGTAAGACCCAGACCTAACATTCACACTTTATCTAGCTGACTGTTTGTTGTTCTTTGAAATTTTAAACAGCTTCCTTGTCAGATTTGAGTGAATTTCATCCTAGAATGTGATCCAGCCTGAAGGCCAAAGCAGTTTGCCAAAAAACAGGAGGTCAAAGGGAAAAAATGTTGAACTTGATTTCTTTCTTTCTTGTTTTTTCCCCCATTCTAGTACAATATTCTAAGTAGTCACCACTGGGCCATGTCACCACCAGCCTGGCTTGCTATAGTTGTTTTTTTCTGGAGTGCTTGTTGATGAAACCCCCTGCGTTGAGTACTTACACCAGGAAAGATAGGAAGGTGGCGAGATCCATTTTGAGATGGATACCCCCGCTACACACAGCTGTGAGATATCCACGTGCTCCTGAAGTCATACCCTCTGTCAGTGTTTTCTCAAAGGCATCTGATGTGGTGCTCCCTTGAGGGTGCTGGTATTTGCTGGTGCTCTTCTAAGGTACCCAGCATCAGCCACCTCCACTATTTGTGCACTGTGCAGCAATGAGGGGATGTGAGCTACTAGCTGAGCTGCTCCTGCAGTCAGCACTAACCAGCTCACATTTACTGCATATCTGGTGTAACAGTTCGTTGTGCCAGCAAAATAGAAAGGAGAAAAGAAAAAGGGAATAGAGAAAATAAAAAGCAAGGCATGGAGATAATGAAAGTGGGGGTGTACTTCTGATGTTATAACTGTACCACACTTAGGTTTCTCTAGCTCCATCTGGGCTTTGTTAAAAATGAGGCTAGTTAGCAGCAGCAGATATGAAAGTAACAACTGACAGGGGAATGAGAGAAGCTATGAGAAACCCATGAATTACGTAGGATTCTCTTAAAGATCTTTCGTGGAGGGCTTAGAAGTAGCAGTTTTCAAATTGTGGCCTACTGGTTGCTCATATCAAGTGATTGGGATGCTGTGGAAGGTGGGAGGAGGGTGCAGCAAGCAAGATGCATGAAGTCTTCAATCAGGAAAGGGGGAGAACTTGGAGAATGGTTTACTGGAACTGCTGAAGGATGATGGTATAGTATCATAGCTGGAAGAAAGATGTATCTTAGGAGTAGATGCTAATTTTGTGGAAGGGGGATGGAGATTCATGTAGCTAAGAATAAATGAGTTTATGGAAAGGATACTGGTGGTTATTTGGTAACCAGGAGCTTAAGTGATCAAAGAGGTTTAGTAAGCCCTTTTGACTTTGCCTTGCCCTTCCAAAAATACATTATGGCTATATGGAAGGTCACCTCCCATCCGTTCTTAGACGTTGTGCCCACTTTGGTATAGGTGGCCTATCAGATTGCATAGGCTGGGTAAACATTGGGATATATGATAGTACATTTGCTGAGCTGCGGGATATAAAGGTAAGGTTGATATTTGGAATGCCAAGATATTTGTGAGGGGAGGCAGGATTCTTGGTCTCCTCAGCTGCTTGCCCTGAAAATGGAAGGAGAAAGAATTTGAAATTCCAGAAGTCTTTGCAGGCTCCAGGCTATAAACAGGCTCTTCCTGCATGAAGCAGTAAGGAGATGTCTGCTTTTCCATACAGGCCTAATGCTACTGGTATATGCTCTTGTGAGGGGGGTGAAGCCCATCAGTCAGGGGTGACAGGAGTGCCCAGTGCTACTGATGTGGATCATCCAGGAAGATGGTATTGAAGACCGAGTTATGGGGTAAAGAAGAAATGAAAGCGCAGTCAAACTGAAGCAGGGGAAGACAGAAAGGTGAAGGAGTCAAAAACCAAAAGAAAGATGGAAAGAAGAAAATAATTAGGAAAAGGTTGGAGAAGTATTGGCAGCATGTTGTACAGCAGAGAACTCTCCTTACCATTGAATATGCTTCATAAATACTGTATATTTTTCAGCTAGCTAGGCTGAGGGCCTCTGTGGGGTCAAGTATGCAAATGATGGGTCCCCAAGTCCTGCTGCTCCTCCAAATTCAATGAAAGTAGAATTTATCCCCTATATAACTATTCTGAATTTATCTGGGAGCTGTGCCTCTAGCAGGGTCTGGATCCTCTGTATCAGATCTCTGTATAAGTCTATATTCCCAAAAGTAATGTGAAGGAAAATATGACCAGAGGAATGTATTTGCTATTTTACTTTATGGATCACCAGGCAAGTGTCATATGCAATAGTCATGGATGCTGTTTATTCCCTTATCTCTTGCTAGCTTGAATGCAATGGTCCTGCAGCTTGGGTCTCTGAAGGAGAAACTCTTTGGGTTACATATCTGCATGTTGTGTCACCACTGGCCACAGCTATACCTTGGGGTGTAGAGTATGGAAATGTTGCTGTTTGGAAGTGTTTGTAAGACACTGCTCTATGTTTCCTGGTCCTGGTCAAGAGACTAAAGTGACGGTTACTGAAAGTTTGCCATCCAGTAGTGTGTTGCAAGGGCTGGTGTTTCCTGACAGCAATGAGTACTATTTCCCTCTATAAGCACATCTCTCCTTCCAGTCAGAAGCACCAAACCTGAGCAGGCTGGAGTGTGCTAGCTTCCTCTCTGGTGTATGTCTGACACAGATAGGCAAACTGCTTGGATGATGCAGGAAACCGAAGTGTTCCTCATGGCCAAAGTGAAATTTTCCAGGAATTAGGTTGTTCTCACATCAGTCAGCTATGACAGTGGGGGAAAGTGCCTCTCCAGGAAGGATCTGTGTCACTTGGACCTTTTGTCTACACTGAGCAAAGCCACTGGATTTCATACCTTCTCCTACAGTGACCCTACAATAAAACAGGAAAGATCAGACACTCCTGTAGAAAAAGACAACTGGGACTCTGTCCCACACAGGGAAGCTGCACAGCAGTATATGAGACCCTTGAGCCCTTCTCCTCCCTGGATGGAATAATCCACCTTTGTTCATCATGAATCTTAATA